TTGTTTTTCCTCCTTTTCCTAAACTGACAGCTAAGAGACTTAAGTAAGAAATTGGAAAAAAATCCACTTTGACATCAGTAGGCATTTAATGCTGAAAATAAAAAGTCAAAGGGATAATAAAGATTTCTGGATAATTAAAAGCTTTTGAAAACAGGAAAGGAGAGAGGAAGAATAAAAGGGCAGGATCTAGAAGGGAGGAGACTGCCTGGAATTAAAAAAGAACTTACAACAAAATCTCAACAAGACTTCCAAAAGATACATTCTAACTGAAATATCGCAACAAAAACCCCAGGAAGAGAAAGTCAAAAAACAAAATAAGAAGATATAACTCGGGACTATCTGGATTACTTGATGATTTCTGGATTCTTGGTTATTGTTTTGAATGACTAAAATCAATTGGGTGGTTGTTTAAAACTGTTTAAAATGGCTCCACTTTTAGAAGAACTGAAAATGGAACTTAAAAAGTACAAAGAAGATGCACAAGAAGGGAGAGGTTCTTTTGGCTTCGTATTTCAGTTTTTAGAAATGGAGATTTGGAATTATGAGAAACAACAAGAAATGCCTGCAGAACAAGAAGATTGCGACAAAGAAGAAGCCTTCTTTAATTGAACAAGTAATCTTAGATGGGGGGGAAAAGGGAAAGGGGGGAAAGAGTGGAAAGTTTAAGATTGGGAAAAACAACTCCCCCCCAAAATAGAGTGAAAAATAAGTATAAAATCAGAAAGCAACAGAAAAGGGAAATGCAGAAGAGAGAATTAGAAATAGAGAAACAAGAGGGTAAAAAGGAGAGGGAGAACAAGAGGGAAGAAAGGAAAAGAAGTCATAAAGGACAGAAATAAAATACAGAGAAACAGGGCCTATTTAGAGATAATGGGTGAAAATTTAATGGAAAAAGGGATTCTGCAAAGGTACATAAGATAGTATGGTTATATTAGAAACAGAAATAATTTTAGAAAATATGAAACAATGTATGATTAAAATGTCTGATAAAATAGCTATCGTAATTCAGTGGAATGCTTGTCAATAAATAAATGTAATAAAAGGTATATTTAATGATTTATAAAACATGTGAAGCAAAATAAGGGAAAAATTAATTATGGAGATTATATGTGTTTTTTTTTAAACAAGTTTTATTAATTTCAAAAAACAAACAAATCATCATCAACCATTACATATTTGAACCTTTTTCCATTATAGATTTAACAAGTCAGATAAAACCTTATCTTATACAATACATTTCTATATTATTTCATCTATTTCTTTCTGACTTGATTATCGTCACTCTCTTTCTATGTTTCTACAAGGTTTCACCAATACTCTCAAAAACATAAACAGACACAAACATACATATAAAAAATCTTTTAGTAAAGTAACTTGGCCCCAGGTACCTCTCTTTATATGGGCTTTAATTATATTCATGCTCATCTTACAGATCATTACTTATTTTATTTACCATTCTGTATCTTCTATATAAACTTCTCCACACATTTCACTCTTCATAATTCTATCTTATTCAATCCATCTTAATTTAAATCATTATATTTATATCTTTTGCCCATCCTTTATTATCCCTCTATCTCATTCCTTATAATGAAAAAAAAAAGGAATTTCTCCTGAAATCACTAATCAGAATATGATGCCTTTCTATCCTCTCCCTAAATTAATTAGATTAACATTTAAAATAACACCTAATACCCAACTTGATTCTGCTTGGTACATTCTATCTACTAATTTTTACTTTTAGTAACAATAAAAACAGAGTAAAAAATCAAAAATGTTTAAATACATAATATCCTCCTAAATACGTAGTTAAATAATACATCTAAATAATAAATCTTATAGCATTCTCATTGCCTTTCCCTTCAATATTTTATTACATTTTAAAAATCAATCATTATTAAACATTTCAACATTTTAATTTCTATTAACTCTTAAGCCATTCTAATTTTCTATTTCTAATACAAATGTTACAATACCATCTTATGTACCTTGCAGAATCTTTTTTAAAAAAATTTATGCTTTACCCATTATCCCTAAAAAAGATTCCTCTTTTCCCATCTAATTTTAAAACTTTGTGGCTTTTCTCCGCCTTTCCCCTTTCTTTCTTCCCCCACCAAATCTTCCTACCCCCCCTTCTTCTAACCTCTGTCTTGCCGGCATCCCTTCTCTGTTGTATTCCCTTTTTCTCTTGTTTGCTATCATTGTATTTATTTTGCATCATATTTTTCTCTTTCTTAAATGTTTTTTTAGATCTTAAATCCTTCATTTTCCTCGCTTTCTTCCTTCCTTCTTTCTTAGATAAATTTTGGGATTCATTAAAGATGGCGTCTTCATCTTCTTCTTGTTGTTCTTCAGCTTCCATCTGTATTGTCTGTTCATAGTTAACCAACGCCATTTCTAAAAAAAGAAAAGCTTTTTCCATACCATCTTTACAGACTGCTTTTGTTTGCTCATATTCATCCCTCAGTTCCTCAAAAGAAAAAGCCATTATAGATCTTTTCTTTTCTTTTTTCCCTCTTTCTTCTCACACCAACCAAAATATTCCAAAAGAAAAATAAGACAATCCAAAGTCCACAATCCTCAATCAAGCCAAGCCAAGCCAAAATTCCCCCTTTCTCTTCCAGGGGTAGTATCAGACAAAGGAAAAAAAAAATTCAAATCTGTGTTTTGAAGCCTTATTAAGATTTTATTTCTGTTTTCAAATCCTTAAGGCATCTCCTCCAACAAAATCCAACGAGATAAATATATTTTTTGTCCTCTCCCTTCCGACTTATCCCAAAAAGCTAGTTTTACCTGAAAAAAAAAAACAGGTTTCTCAATATCCATTTATTAATTCCGTCGGGGGGGGGAGAGTAAACTTTCCTTTCAGCACCTCAGAATTGCCGCTTATTTTCTCTTGTGGAAAGAATCATCCAAAAAGCCATCATTTTCAGGAATTAAATTAAATATATCTTAGAGTTCTGGGTCGACGAAGAAGACTTTCACTTTTAAAAACTTTCTCCTCTTCCTCCAGCGCATACTTGCCCAGCTGCCGGCTTCTTTGTAGCGGCCATTACGGACCGCCGCTGCACCGTCTTGGTAAAAGGAGGTTCTGCCGGCTAGGGAGGGGGTCTGCAGCACCCCCAAACCCTTTCCCGGATCCCCACTACCTTCAGCTGCCCCTGCAGGGCAGCCTTGCTCCGCACCCTTTCGGATCGGAGCCCCAAAAACGGCTAGCGCGGCAGGGATCGCGCAGCTTCGCGAATCCCTACCGCTCGCAAAGCCGACAAACCGGAAATCCGGAGATTATATGTGTTTTTAAGGAAGTATGATATTTAATTGAAAAGAAGTGTAAAAGATGTTAAGATTTTAATGATTATTAATGATAGAACTGAACTGGAACGGAATGAGGGTTTATAATTACATATATTTACAATCCTTTTTTTTAAAGAATATAGTGTGTATTATAAGAATGTACCAAGCAGAATTCAATTGGAAGTTATGTATTATGTATTATATTGAAAGTCATAACCTTAAGGTATATATTGAAGTTTAAATAAGAGTTGAATGGATGTAATTAAAAGATATAAAGGTGTCATATTCCAATTAGTAACTACAGGAGAAAACTTGTTTAATGAGAAAAGATAATATGAAATTGAAATAGAACAGACAAAAGTATAAATATAATGATTTGAATTGAGATGAGATAATTAAATTAAAATTGAGAAAATCAAAAGAGGGGAAAAACTATATAGAAAATGTAAAATAGTATAAGATATGGAATAGAATACAAAAAGGAGCATGAAATTGAGTTTTTGTGTCTGTATAAAGAAGTTCAACCCAGGACCATGCTATTTTCAAAAAAGATGTTTTACTTGTATTTTGTATGTGTGAAAACCCAAATAAAACTTTATTTAAAAAAAAAAAATCACAGGACTACAAGCGTGCTTACAATTTTACTTCAGCTTTCCTTTGCTTTACAGTGTCAGAAGGATACAAACCCAAATTGTTGGGTAAATGGCAGGGACGGTTTCCAGAGCTCAACTGCTCCACTCTCCACCATTTAGAATACTAATTCTAAATAATTAGCAAGATGATTGATTTTTGTATTTGCATTCAGAGGAAAGGAAGGGGTTACAACAGTATAAAGCAGACACACATTTGGGAGAATACACATTGAAAGGAATGCACTAGTATTTGATTGCTTATTTAGTATCCTATGACTATCACTAAGTGTTGTATCTTACGATTCTTGATGAATGTATTTTTATGTACACTGAGAGCTTATGCACTGAAGACAAATTCCTTTTGTGTCCAATCACACTTGGTCAATAAAAGAATTGTGCACTTGGCTTAGGAGACAAACAAAAACCTTTAGTGTGAAACTTATTAAGGTTTTGTCAATTCCAAGCAGCAGCTACAAGCAGTTGGAGGGTTCTAATCAACTAATTATGGTCACATTGCTGAGCTTACTAACTTGTGAAGACTTTTTTAGGGAAGCACTATTCTCCTAAGAACAAGGGTCTCCAACCCCAGCAACTTTAAGACATGTGAACTTCAATTCCCAGGATTAATTGTTGAAGTCCACAAGTCTTAAAGTTGCCAAGGTTGGAAACCCCTGCCTAAGAAAAGCAGCTCAGAAAAAGGTAGCTTGGCAAATATATGACAGAAAGATGTGAAGATCATAAAGATGACCATTGGTTGCAAATGTTTTTAATATCATTTAACTACAAACAGTTGCTGTACGAGGCAGTTGCTACACAAGGACTATCTATACAGCTATTTTTAAATTTATGCTGTTCTAAAATGTTGATTTATAACATCTATTCTCCTGGTTGGGAATATGGTGGAAGACATTGTACAACATACCTGAAGAGTACCAAATTAACGGAGATAGATGTCATTGTAATGATATAAATGTATATTTTAAACACAATCGGAAATAAAACTTGGGTATCCTTGAAAGATGTCTTAAACTAAAAGCAACTAAGGTATTCTTACTGTTCTGTTCTATCCTCCAGTTGTACTTACAAGTCAAGCCTTCCTGTAGCAGTGAGCAACAGTATGAATATTCTGGCCGATGCTGCACCAAATGTGAACCAGGTAGTGCGCTAACAGCATTCTTTTCACACTTAAGTCAAAATTGATTTTTAAGTAAAAGAATAATCTCATTATTTTGTTTTTTAAAAAAGATCTGGTCTCTTACTAGGGAGAGGGTGAATTGCATTCTTATAACACTTTTTAAGTCTCTCAAGAGCAGAACTGTGCAAACATTTTGAGGCTAAAACACATACTTGGGTTTTAAATGCCAAGCTATGGAGCAAAGATTCAAAGAGTGAGTTACAGGCTGTCCTAACTTAACGAGCTGTTGTATAACAATTGTTTGAAATTACCACAGATTTCAAAAACAACTACTTATGACTTGTCCTTGAAGTTATGATATCTTCACAGAAACAAACATACACACGTAAGGTCACATATCAGACACTTGCAACTATCTTGCATTTATAACTGATTGCAGAGTCTTGCAGTCACATTATCCCAATTTATGATGTTTTTTGCTGTTTTCCAGTAAAAACACCCATTGGATATACTGGATTCGCTTAATGACTACATGGCTCATCAAATAACCACGTGATTTGCTTAATGATTCCAAGAACAGTTGTAATTTTGTGTCAGGTCATCGATGACCACAATTACTTAGGACCAAAATTCCGAACTCAATTATGGTCGTATGTTGAGGATTACCAGTATACATTTAAAATTAATTAAATGTAGTTAGTAGGATTACTATAGGAGTGTGTAATCCTTTCCATTTCAATATAGTAAAGTGAAATCTTTGAGGTAATCTGAGTATGGGCAGAGCTCCACTTGAGGGAAAAATAGAATCCTGAGCCCATAAATTTTCCACTCACATTCAGACAATTTTTCCTCGTAAAATTAGGAATCTGTATAATAACCAGCTCAGTATTATCTTGTTATATGCAGATTGAATCTGGTAGGGTGATTTGAAAAGGGAAATTGTAGAATGTTTACCTATTGAGATAACTTAACAGAGATTTGTATTCCTGGTTAAAACAATTAAAATTTTAAAATAGTTTTTATTATTTGAAGGAAGATGTAGAGGCTACTCTGAACTGTGTTTGTGCATTATACCCTCAACTGTGTATCCTGCATTGGTTGATTTATCAATGCCGTGTATCCCACACTGATACTCAGGAAGATGGGTTCTACACAGAGGTGGTATTCAGCAGGTTCTGACCAGTTCTGGAGAACCAGTAGGGGAAATTTAGAGTAGTTCGGTGAACCGGAAAATTCCACCTCTGACTGGAGATTTTACAGTATCCTTCCCCTGCCACGCCCACCAAGCCACGCCCACAGAACCGGTAGTAAAAAAAATTGAACCCCACCACTACACAGCAGTTGGGAAAACCTTGAGTCTCAAAGGGTAAATCAGTTTAGAAAGAAGTATTCTGAATTCAACTCATTTTGGACAATTTCCTCCTAAGTGATCGTGCTCAGAACAGACAGTGCTTCTGAATCACAGAAGCTATTTAAAGAGAATGAATCATAGCTTCAGCATTTAAAACCAACCAGAAGATGCCTTCAAGGAAGAACTTGAAAGACTTGTGGTGCTTCCAGGCAGATTCTGTTATAATGTGAAAAGCCACTGTGTGCTTATTTCTTCCTTTTCTCTGAATTTTTGAAATACAAATAATGGGAAAATGTGGGAATACAGGTAGTCCTCGACTTACAACCGCAATTGAGCCCAAAATTTATGTTGCTAAGTGAAACATTTGTTAAGTGAGCTTTGACCCATTTTACTATTTTTCTTGCCACAGTCGTTTAGTGAATCACTGTAGTTGTTAAATTAGTAACGTGGTTGTTAAGTGAATCTGGCTTTTCCATTGACATTGTTTGTCAGAAGCAAAAAAAACTGATTGCATAATTCCGGGACGTTGCAACCATCATAAATATGAATCAGTTGCAAAGCATCTGAATTTTGATCACATGACTGTGAGGATGCAGCAGCGGTTATAAGTGTGAAAAATGGTCATAAGTCACTTTTTCAGTGCTGTTGCAACTTTGAATGGTCACTAAGTGAACTGTTGTAAGTCGAGGACTACCTGTATTACAAATGGAAAACAATAACTGAACAATCTACTGTATAAGTTCTCGTGCATAAGGCAGGGAGGTTATACATTAAAAACATCTTGAAATCCCATGTTCTACATAGACAGCGATTGTTTAGTACTTCATATCCAAGCTAACTACATGCTTCACTATGGATTGTCCAATTCTGTTGTTAAATCAATCTGATTAAGCAAGTGTTTGATTCTGATAATGTAATAAGCATCTAAAGTGATGGCATTATAATGTGTTTTGATTGTTCAGCCCACTTATTCAGTCGTAATTGGCCATGTGTTCCCATGTGCTGACTCCACTAAGACGATGCATGTAGGCCTGAGAGAGCCAATATTGCTAATTCTGAAGTATTTAACATTTAATCACTCTTTTCTGTTAATCTTCTCAGGAAAGTACATGGCAAAAAAATGCACTGCCTTTTCAGAGACTGTATGCAAACCTTGTGGCTCAAATGAATATATGGACATCTGGAATGAAGAGGAAAAGTGCTTTCTTCATAAAATATGCGATAGGGGTAAGGGAAACACATGAACATATTGCTTCTCATTTGTCAGGAAGATGAATTTTAGGAGAACAGATGAAGACTTGTATTTTGAGTTGGTAGAGATGGCAGGACAGGAACAGTTGGAAAACAGAGATGTGCAGAGGTTTTGGACAGAGGTTCCAAAATCTCTTTGAGCTTTAATCAAAATCGCTTAGGAATGTTAGGATGTCAGGACAACTCTCACAAAATGGCTGATTAGATGACAAGAATCTTGCCATAAGCAAGATTGGCAAAACACAAATATCCCAGAAGGCAAATTGATGAGGTCTGAGATAAATAACATAATCAAGATGGAGTTCAAACATCAAAGTTTAGATCTTATCTTTGAACCCAGATTCCAATCCTGAGTTTAGGTCAGTTACATTCTCTTAACCCTTGACTGAGAAGTTGAAAACATCTATCAGTCTGTACTGGACCAGCATGGTAAAGAAGCAGCAGGTGGAGCTAGGCAGAATCACATCTGATACCTGTACAATTAGCACAGGGCCCCCCCCAAGGCTGTGTGCTTTCTCCACTTCTTCCTATATACCAATGACTAGATCTCAAATGATCCGTCTGTTAAAATACTGAAGTTTGCAGATGATACAACAATGATTGCTCTTATTCAAGACAGCGATGAATCCGCATACAACTTGCCTCGTGGTGTGACCCGAACAATCTGGAACTGAACACACTCAAAACTGTAGAAATGGTGGTAGACTTTAGGAGAAACCCTCCCATACTACCACCTATTACAATACTAGACAACACAGTATCAACAGTAGAGACCTTCAAATTTCTAGGTTCTACCATATCACAAGGCCTAAAATGGGCATCTAACATAAAAAATGTCATTAAAAAAGCACAACAAAGAATGTTTTTTTGCGCCAACTCTGAAAGCTCAAACTGCTCAAGGAGCTGCTGATACAGTTCTACAGAGGAATTATTGATTCTGCAACCCAACAAAACAGACACAACCTCCAGAGAGTAATGAGGACTGTGGAAAAAACAATTACTACCAACCTGCCTTCAGTCGAGGAGCGGTATACTGCATGAGTCAAAAAGAGGTCTGTGAAAATATTTATAGACCCCTCACATCTCGGACATAAACTGTTTCAAATCCTACCCTCAAAATGACGCTATAGAGCACTGCACACCAGAACAACTAGACACAAGGACGCCATCACTCTGCTAAACAAAAAATCCCTTCAACATTGTCCAACTATTTACAAAGCCTGCATTACTATTACTATTACTATTAATCTTCTCATCACTCCTTATCACCCATCCCCTCCCATTTGTGACTGTATGACTATAACTTTGCTTGTATCCTTACAATTTATATTGACTGTTTCCTAGTATGATTTGATTGCTTATTCTACCCTATGACTATTAAGTGTTGTACCTGATGATTCTTGATGAATGTATCTTTTCTTTTATGTACACTGAAAGCATTTGCACCAAGACAAATCCCTTGTGTGTCCAATCACACCTTGCCAACAAAGTATTCTATTCTATTCTATTCTATTCTATTCAAGTACAACACATAACCTTCAGTGAAGAGACCTGTATAACCTCCTACAACATTGAATAACATCATGCTCAGCTGTGACATTCAATTCTAGACCATTTTTTCTGCAGTAAACGTTCGGTTTTTCCAAAAGATTCTCTTCAAATCACCCTTAAATGGATTGATTTGAGCTGATGGTGAAATATTCAATACAAAGACACAAGCATGCCACAAGCTGAGCATAGACACATACATCTCATTAAAGCAAAACATACAGCAAAACAAAAAAGAAAGAATACCTTTGTCTCTCTGCCATACTCTTTAGTTCTGTAGAACAGTCGTCCCCAATCTTTTGAGCATCAGGGACCGGTTCCATGGAGAGAGGTTTTTCTACGGACCGGAGACGGCATGGTTATGTGTGCTGCCTGCATCCTGCGGATGGGGCTTGTTTGCACGGCTTGGTTTCTGGAATGCCGTGGCCATGGACCAGGAGTAGGGGATCCCTGCTTAGAATGTTCTTCATCAGCCCTTAATTCAAGGACACTTTATCAGCTTTAAAATACAGGACTATAACTATATTGTGATTTTTTTTTTATTAGGTAAGGGTGCCTTTCTTAGAAAGGCAAGCAAAAGGTGGGTGTTACTTGAGTTCATTTAGGCACCCTATTTGAAATCCTACAAAAAAGGGACATCTCCATTTAAATAATCCCTTTAGCCTCTGTAAAAAGATGTCTTGTGTGACCCTTATAACCTCCTACAACATTGAGCAACATCATGATTGACTGTGACATTGAATTCTAGACTATTTTTTTGCAATAAATCATGAACACTCAGTTTTTCCATAAAACTCTCTTCAATTCTCACCAATTACCACATATTTACTTGTTTCCCTGTCGTTTGAATTGCAACAGGCAGCATTCAGAATCTGTCATGAATCAGGAATCTGTACATTATGCAAGTAGTAACATTGCCTCACTTGAAAAGAATGCTCAGTTGTGTGTCTGTTATGATACAAACTTTATGTCAAGTAGGTTGAGAATACATGACTTAAACTTTAATTTCCACCTGCTTTCCCCCTTTTTAAAGGAAGAGCTTTAATAGAAGTGATTCCAGGAAACAGCACATTCAAAAGACAATGTGCCTGTACTGCTGGCTACCATTGGAACAGAGACTGTGATTGTTGTCGGCGAAACACAAAATGCTCTCCTGGTTCTGGAGTGAAATTTCCTAGTAAGTTTTCAATTAACATCTCTTCAAGTTTTATTTTATTAGTCAACCCTGCTGAATGTACTACTGATGAGCTGGATTGACAGTGGAAGTGTCCTGAGAATAAAACTTCTTGGAGTGAAGTTTTCTCTCCAACATTGCTGAATATTAGATACTTAAAATTATGCCACTGAAATTGGGGTAAATTTCAGTCCTGGGTGATATGCCTCAATTAATCTTATAATGTTATTTATTTTTTAAAAAATTATTATTTTGACTTATTGTTAGTTAACAGTTTTATCATGGGAGGAATAGTGTGTAGAAATAATACTTAAACATCATGTTGGTTATTTAGCACATTCTTGGTATTATAACAGCATGAAAGTGTAGGTGTATATCTATATGTATATGAACCTCCTTATAAGCAAAAATAATCAGTGTGCTTGTTTCCAATGCCTTGAATGTTACATTTAAAAACCAGTGTTATATTTTATCCAATAAATAAATAAATAGCCAAAAAGGCCAAAGTGTTCCAAATAGTAACACTTCAGTGTGTGCAAAAATGTATCCTAAATATTATCAGCACATTGTTTTCAAGTGGTGTTTTTCAGAGAAGTGGTGCTCTGCTCAGTGTGTTGTTATACTTTCACAGTACAGCAAGATAAGAATACAGTGTGCGTACCTTGTCCCACTGGTTATTTTTCTAATGTCTCCTCTGCAACTGATGCATGCAAAGCCTGGACAAAGTAAGTTTCATATACATTTAACAGTGCTCTAACAAAGACACAAAGAACATCTTTGGATGTCGGTGCTGAATTGTATTTAGAAACACTGATGTTGGTTGTAGAAAATGAAATAATTTGTCATTGCCAGTTATTAGTCTCTGAACATTACAATCTATAAATCTTCATTTGCCTGATCTTGTGACATGAATAGATGTATATTAAAATTATTTTAATTTTGTAATAATGGCTGCATTTCCATCTTTTCTCAGCAGTAATCCATAAGTATTTGTGTTTTATGTAAAATTGAGACTTGCAGAAGGGCAGTGTTTCTCTACTTCAGCAACGTTAAACTTATATGGACTTCATCTCCCAGAGTTCCTTGGTTAACATGCTGACTAGGGAATTCTGGGAAATAAAGTCCACATATCTTAAAATTGCTGAGGTGGAGAAACACAGCAATAGGAAAATGAGAAATAGATCGTGAAACAAAAAAGGAAGTGGGAATATTGTCTACTCTTTGAAATTAAGGAAATTCATTTCTCTTCCATTCCATTTTAGTTAAAATGAATTGAATAAACTGAAAAATTAATTGTTCATTTAATTATGAAAAGGCCATTTAACCCAGGAGCCTCCAACCTGTGGGCTGTGGCCGACTAATGAGCTGTGAGTGCAACCAGGCCACAGAAACTGCCAGTGAGTTTGTACGTGCATGCGCATCCTCATTTGCACAAACAGTGGGCAAGCACACATGCACACTCCATTTAAGTGAGCAACAGGATTGTGTGCACGCCACTTGCGCAAATAGAGCTACCCTAAAAAAAAATAAAGTACTTTTTAAAATTGTTTCTTCCAAGTAGCGATTAGGGATCACCATAATGCTTTATTGTAAACCCATCTGTTATGGCATAGTGTCACTGTGATATGTCATGATAACCTGGTTCAACAAAACTTGCTTTAAAAATTCTGGCATAGTGTTAAATCTATGTATGCAAATGGCTTGCTGTAGAAAACCAGCAGACCTCCTTACTGATCATTAATTCTCAAGAGTCCCATATGAGACTAACAGGACTAAACAGTGTAGGAATAAATATTTATAAATTTGGTTATGAGCTTCATTAGATATTAGATATTATACATGAAATTGGCTTTCTTTTTCCTCTTTTGTCATAATATCAATGTCAGCGTTCTACAGTCTGCTTCTCTCCAGATCAGATAGCCTAAACTAATATACTGTACCATTCCCATGTGGTGGGGAATTATGGGAGAGGTTGTAGAGAGTCCAGGTGACTCTGGGGGAAATAGGGAAGAATTATCAAAGGGGGTTAAAACATTCTCTAAAGCCTGGGGAAAAGATAGTATTTGGAAAATATCATGTAGGATTCTCCCTAGTTCACTGGGATATAAAAGGGAGGAGAAGTAAAGTATAATCAGGCTTCTAAGATTTTGTAATTACAGCCTAAGCATCGCCTCGCTACCTCTTTATGCTATTATTTGTTTGTTTGTTTGTTTGTCAAACATGTACAAGATAACAAGTATAAGTATGAATATAATAACAAAGGGAGTAAATACAGATAAATGGGGACAGTAAGACAGGGACGGCAGGCACGCTGGCGCGCTTATGCACGCCCCCTTTAAGGACCTCTTAGGAATGGAGTGAGGTCCACGGTAGACAGTTTGAAGTTGAAGCTGTGAAGTATTGAGGCTGTAACAACAGAGTTCCAGACGTTGACCATTCTGTTGCTGAAGTTGTATTTTCTGCAATTGAGTTTGGAGTGGTTTACCTTGAGTTTGGAGTAGTTGTTTGCCCATGTATTATTGTGATTGAGTGTGAAGAAGTTGTTTCTCCAAAACATACATTACTTTATTCGCATGTCTCATCCAAAAACAATATGATTTATCACTTTCCATTTTATTTAATTTAGTTGCACAGCTTTGGGTACTGAAGACAAGATTCCTGGGAGTAGTTGGTCTGATGCAGTTTGTAAGATACAAGAGAAAACACATTCAGAAGATGGTAAATACAAAAACACTCACTGCACAGTAATATTATTTTAGGATTTTCTGGTATAAAGTTACCCTTTATTTTGGTTTCATCCCATGATATGGTGAACTGCTCAATAGCTTCAATAATGCTATGAGTGATGTTAGCAGGAGCAGGAGCTCCTGGTAGGGTTTCATTGCTGGTAAGAGTCCATTGGAGTTGGGTAGCTATTCAATCCAAATAAATAAAATTCCAAAAGGTAAGAGTGATGCTAATAAAAATCCACAACAGAACTCAGGACAAGTAGAGGGATCTAGGGGCATAAGAAAAGCCAACTTATCTATTAAGTAGGAACTCCACAATCAAACTCCAGAAAAGAAATGGCAAATTGCTTTGGTATTTTGACAACAAATGTATATGAGCATGGCTGAAATATGAAGTAAAGTTTAAGCGCCAAATGATGAGAATGTGAAGCAGGAAGGCACTCTTCCAATTATTGGGGAAATAGATTGAATTTGTGTGAATAGAACTGAATGGGATGACATGACTAGACCAAAGAAAATCTAATCACTGATGGTGTCAGTATTGAAAGCAGTTTTTGTTTTACAATGACATGTGCAATTGTAACATGAAAAGCATGACCCAAGAACAATTTGAAATTGTAAATGCATAAATGAGGTGAATTAATTTGGTCGACATGAATGGGCCACTTTAGATTAATAATAAATGATTATATGCGAGTTGCCTAGGGCAGAAGACAAAATAAAGAGAAATGGAGGCCAATCTGGCCTATATGAAGTAATGGAGATCCTATTCAACAAAGGGATTTGGGCTGTTGAGATGAGGTAATTGCATTGTCAAGGCAGACAGGCCATCCAATTTGTCTCAGTAAAGAAATTTGGGTAGCCTGAAGCCATGACATTCTAGTATTGTGGAAGCAGGTTGAAATGCTTCCAGGTTAGAGGATTTGCAGATTGCCTGCAATATACATCCCATCTTGAACAACCTTCAGGATAGGCCAAGGATGCTCTGGGCTTGTCAGTTTGGATACTGCAGCACTATCAGCTTGATGGAATTTGGATACTGCAGCACTATCAGCCAGGAAGACTTTCTAAGTATATAGGATTACCTGTAGTGTGCTTCAGAGCTGACCAGCATGGTCAACCTTTGCTAGCTACAGGATTATCTGACACAAAAGCTGAAAATACCCAGCCTGGAAAAATAAGCAAACATAACTCAGAGAGTCTGAGTATGGAATGTCCACAAACAATAGAGAAAAATAATATCTGTTTGGCAAAGTTGAGGGAAGTTGAAGAAGAGGAATAAAATGGATAAACTAGATGGAGAGGAACAGATAAAGATGTAGGAGAAGGAGTGGCAGAACCTGGAGGTGAAGTTTAAAAAGGGGTCAGCCCAGAATTTCTATATAGCCCGCAAGCAGACTCTTTGAATTCTTTGAATTCTTATCTAACTCCAAACAAGTGTTAACCATTAGTTGAAAAGATTCCTAGATATAGGCTTTAGCATTAAATCAGTTTAATTGGACTTGCAGGTGTGGACTTGACCTTTCACGCTTGACAAAGACCTTCACAGGAAGGTCATTGGAATCTCAACAGATTATTGTTGTGGGCAGCTTGAAATAGTGGATATTTGCCCATAGATATTTGTTTGCAAAGATTTAAAGATGCAGAATAAAGAAACCCTGTTATCAGAAATGGATGTTTTTTTCCTGCCAGTTTTTGACAACATAATCCAAGGGTAATCTCTGAGTTAACAAAATTGAGGCTGGGTTTACAGGTTGCCCAGTTCTAGTTTAACCAGAATACAAGAGGCCTAAAAAGGGAAACACTTAACCAAGTTAAATTGCATAGACATAAGCCACAAATTTATTAGCTAATACACTGGTTCCCAAAATTCATATCTTAAATGCCATTTAGCAGTGTTCAGAAAATCTGTGTCCCGCTGTGATATAAAGTAAAAACTTAAGTTTTTCAAAGAAAGACATATGTTATTATCCATTCTGTTCTTGTGTTTATCATTTGTAAGTTTTAAAGATGCAGTTAGAGATAATCTTCATTTAACAACTACTTGTTCAGTGACTGTTTAAAGTTAAAACAGCATTGAATGAGTGGTATTTACAACCAGTCCTCATAATTGGTGCTATTACCATATCCCTGGAGATCCAGGCTCTTGGTGACCGGCTCACAACTCTAGCTTCCAACAAGCTAGTCAATGGGGAAGCTGGCTGATAACAAAAGATGACCACATGATAACACCCTTAATGAAGGCATGGAATTTGGTTAATGACAACAATAGGAAGTGCTGGAACTGTTGCCACTAAGTGGTGCAGTCACATAACCGCACATAATTGTACTTTCTGGCTGTGTTGCTTGGCAATTCTGATCCTAATTGCCATCATTAAGCATGGACTATCAGTAAAGACTCAGTATCTTTTAGGCTACTTCACAGAACCAGCTAGATTGAAAACCACTAGGCTAAAATATGTGCATATAGGACAGAGGCTACTCTTGTTTTTGCCCCTTATGCTGTCAGATGTGTTGTACTCTCAACAAATGGTCAACAACAACTTGGACCCATTTCTGGAATTATAGCTGAGCGGTTTGGGACAGACCGTAGTATAGACTTACTCCAAAATGCGGTGGGCCAGGCACAATACCTTCAAACTATCTTAACATTATGTTTGTTTTTCCCAGCATGAAAATTCATGGCCAAAAATTAATCTTGGATGCCCACAGCATGTGTGTGTGTGTGTGTGTGTGCGTGTTATCTCAGAGGACACAAATAGATTGAAAATTGCACATACTGTAAACCAGGGATCGCCAACCTTTTGGACCTCAGGGACCACCAAACTCATAATTTTAAGTCCCGCGGACCAGAGACCCTGAGAAAATCCCTAAAAAAGTCTGCAGGAAAATTCCTCACCCCGTTTTCCTACCAATCAATCATTCTTTTTTTGGATTGCAGGATACCAGCTCCGGGGGGAGGGGGGGGAGAGAGAGAGACTTTTGGCTTCATGCAAGGAAAACAGCAGAAGCAGCAGAAGTCTTTCTTTTTCTCCGCCAAATTCTACCAGAAATGAGTCTTTGTGAGACTTGTCGCACCAGTGCAGCCTCTTGGAGCAGGATGCCTTGCAGGGTCCCAAAGACTCATTTCTGGCGGAGTTTGGGGGAGAGAAAGAAAGACTTTTGCTGCTTTCCTTGCATGCAGCCAAAAGCAGAAGAAGAAAGAAGCGGAAAGAAGCTGCTCGGTGGCTAGGAGAGGCACGTGGGGCAAGTTCCCCCCCTCCGCCCTTTTCTCCCTCCCCTTACTACCTTGTGTTGTTCGCAATGCAAGTCTTCTGTTCCCACAGGCCATGTGGATGGCACAACCTTGTATTCCAACGCAGCCTGGATTAATTGTTTTGGGGGTGCTATGGGGGTGACATTTCTCTGCAGACCACCAGTGGTCCCCGGCCCACTGGTTGGCGACCACTGCTGTAAACTATAACCAGCTTCTAATTTGCCCTATGTTTCTATTTTCAATAATGAAAGATAGTGAAATTTAACAGTCAACCACTACAATGCTTCCCTGTAGTATTTGACTAAAAAGCAGGGTTGTATTTTTTTTAAATAAATTGGTCCAAAATTATATTTCCTGAGTCTAAGCTTTTATAATTCATTGTCATTTTCCAGAAAACAAGAAATTATTTTATGTGTTGATTGTTCCATTCCTCCTCATTGCCTTGGCTGGTGTAATTATCCTTACTGTATATTATCGAAGTAAGGGGAAATTACTGACAGGTATGTAACACCTAACAACTTCTTACCTTATTGTAAAACTACAGTTAACAGACATTTTTATTTAAATCTCTTAATTTGGTTATTATAAAAGCCAGATTACTTTTTTACTTTTTTCTTTTTATATATCGTTTAAGTTCTAACTTTTGGACATCCATTTCAGTTTTCACAAATGTACCCATGTGATCCAAGGGTATGCAGAAGCAGGCAATGTTTTCTAGGCTGAAGGTCACACTTGGCTTTTGGGTGGTATTTTGGCAGCTGCAACTGGAAAAGTGAGGGCAGAGCAAAGAAGTTGCTGCAGACAGGACAAAATCCAAGTTTGACATATTTAAATTAAATAGAGTTGATTGTGATTACTGCCTATGTATTTAATAATGTCTGTGTTGCATGAAAAATTGGGAGGAGGACACATATGGCTGCCAATTGTGTAAGCCCGATCTACTCTGCAATTATGAAAATATTGCCCAGTGTGTTGATTTTCACGTTTATATCATCTTGTGTGTCAGGCTCTAGAAGGGTGGCTGACAGGCACACAAACATTTATGTCTGTTTCAAAGGAAGATTTAATTGCAAGTAATTGCACTTCCTCCACTGAAATAATAGGACCCCTTATAAGAAATTGCTGTAACAGGGTTATTTGTCTTCATCACACTCATAATCAATAGATTTTTTTTGAAGCTGAAAATAGGATTTTGAGGCTGGTTTGATGCAGCTACATACAGTTGGACAAAATGGCTTCACATCTGAATTGGGCGCTGGTTTAAGGCTATGGACCAACCTGAAACAATTCAATTTCAACATTGAGTGTCAGTCAAGGTTAAGTGGCTTCTGCTCTCTGGGAAGAATCCTCTAAATGAAAGGGAGGGCATTAGGTAGTAGCTCCTAGACAAAATTAAGGCATAGTAGTTTCTGAATTTGATAACTTTGTATGTATCATTTAGAATTTTAGAGCAAGAGAAAGATATTTTTATTTGCAGACAGTGGACATATTAACTTTTTTGTCTAATAACTGAATTTGTATATGACATTATTTCAGCAAAAACAAATGCATTCTTCCACATAAAAAGCAAGCAGTTTGTTGACCAAATAATTTTTTTTAACCAAATCCATAGAATACATTTCCCAGTAAACTCATGATTAGCGTTACTTCAATTGTTTTTTTTTAAACTCTTCCTAGTACTATATATACAATTGTTCTTTTGGTAATTCATGTGATATTCCTTGCAACAGACTAGCCAACCAATCACCCACATACAGCTAAGTCATTAGCAAGTCAGTCATAAATTGATGGCACATGATATGGAACAAAGACCCAACTGATATGGAATGTTCTGTTTTAGTCATGGATAGATTGTCGAGATAGACACATCTTCCATTTGTAGAGTGAAGGGGGGCATTGGGAATCACTTTGCAACTCACATTTTACCACAAACCCTTCGAAAAGCAAACTATTTTTAGCAAAGTATATTTAAAAACAAATTGACAATATTTAAGAATGAACTATTATGCAAACTTTCTTAATTTGTGCATATGTGTGCCATCTTTTTCACTTACTCTTGTCAGTGAACATAATTACAGCAAGTGTACAAGTCCATTGAAATGCTTTAAGTGCGCTTCACTCTGTGATCAAAATTTAATGTTATATGTTATGATAATATGTCTCAGATAGTTCACTGTGAATAAATAGGTCAATCCTATTTTTAAGTATTGAATGTTTATAAGTGTTTTTGTAAAGATTTTTTTTATACAGCTAGCCATAATATATATGGTTGCATTTGTGGTTCATTAATATTCTGCTAAAATTCTAGAATCTAACTGAATACTTTTCTCTATATTTCCTTCCAGCAGATTTACAATACTGGGCTCAGGAAATATGCCAACAAGTAAAAGGGAAAAAGGTAAATTGTAAGGCTTTATGAATGTTTATACCTTTTCATGTTTTTTCTTGGCTGCTCTCTTCTGATATCTTTGTGTGTTGGAGAACTCTTAAGTGATGAAATAAAGTTGTAATTTGTAAAACAGCTTGGTTGACATAGGTCAAAAGGAAATGATGAAAGTATAAGAAACAGAACCACAAAGACTCCCTTGGTTTTAAGCCATAGAATTTTCTTTTTAAATTGTTGCAATTGGTCTGCAGTTTGCTGGGTTTACTTAACAGATTATCACTACTACTATAGGAAACTTTATTTTTTTTTCTTTGCAGGATTCTTCTTGTGATACATTTGTAAACACAAATGTAGCGCATCCTGCTGGCATTCAGCTTTTGGGAGAGACTTATTTGCTAGATCTTGACCAATATGGCTTTCCGGATGAGGTACATCACCCATGTGATCATCTCCTAAGTGAAAAAGATGGTACGGATCAAATACTTTATGGATCAAGAGAAAATTTTCCAGCATTGTTTCTAACTACCATTTCTGAGGACGGCCACTTTAGACAGATGCCTATGGAAGATGAATACACGGACAAAGTATCTCATGGGCAGCGTTACTTACCTTTAGTCAGCCAATCTGATAGCAAACCAGCATCACCCTTCTCTGAACCGCTAGAAGTGGGAGAGAACGATAGCTTGAATTACTTCTTCACAGGAACTGAAAATCTGGAGGAATTGGTACACTGCTGTTGCTTGGACACATCATGTGCAATGGACCCTATTCATGCTTCCTCACATAAATACCTGCAGAGTTCTTGTAATCATTTCACTTGTGCCAAGATGAGAGATGTTGATAATGAAGATGTAGGTACTTCCCTACTGATGTCCGAAGAAAAGCATAGCTTTGCCAGATCACCTTGTAGACAACCTCCTAACAAACTGGACAATGCCACAGATTCCTTAAAAGAAAATGGATCTGCTCTGCTAGGCACCTGTGGTTTGGAATCTTCTCTGGGAGACCAAAATGGGTCAGCAAACAATGTCGGAGACCAAAGTGACTCATCTGACGGAAAGGAACAGAATACAAAAAGAACATCTGAGTCAAACTACAATGTTTCAGATCCACCAGCAGCATCTGGTAAGCCCTCTATATATGAAGCCCACTTTGTTGTTTGTAAAAAAAGGTAAAGAAGTCCCTGAGGATTTTACTCCGCTGGCCGTTGCTGACAATAGGGGGCGGAGCACATCCGCATTTCAAGGCTATTGAGCCAGTGCTGTCTGACGACATTTCCATGGTCATGTGGCCAGCATGACATCAGAGAGCATTGTTACATTTCACGTAGTACTGTTATCTTTCCACCGAAGTGGTACCTTTCTATCTACTTACATTTGCTTGCTTTCAAATTGCTAGGTATGTAGGAGCTGGGTTGAGGACAGGAGTTCACACATTGTGTGGCACTCAGGTCTTAAACTTGGGCTGCTGTTTCCAGGCAGCAAGCCCAGTGTCTTAACCGCTGAGCCACCACGCTGCCCACTTTTATTGTTAATGAGGGGTAGATATTATTAAGCATCTACAGACCAGATTGCAGCACCCACCTTATCTTGAAAAAAAAACTAAATAAAGACAGGTTTTGTTAGTTATTTGTATGGGAGACTAACAGATCTCAGTTCTGTAGATTATGTTGGGAAATTAAATCTACGGCAAACAATTTCTATATTGAAGTCAAGACTATGTAGATATAGCAGTATATATAATTCTGGAGGTCAGTGCAGAAGACGAAGAAGGAAGGCAAGTCAAATGAAAGCATTGTAGACCTTCGATCTATACATATCTGAACATTGAAATTATATCTGTTCTTTATTCATTTTTGAGAATACAGTATAAGAATGTAAGCTAGAGGCAGAAAAGTGGAAAATCGTATTTAAAGCAATTACTTCATATTGCTTCATAGTAAGGTTGGTTCTGCATGTTAATCTAGCAGTTAATTTTCAAGATCATTTAAATAAGGCAAGAACATTTATTTTTCTCTGGGATTTTGGAAATGACTTAGACCCAGTGTGATTATATTCTGGTGCCAGTGGTTTTTCTCCACCCAGCAAACAAAGTATGCTTTTTGGCACTCTTTACCTTGGTCAAGCTAGTTGGCTAGCCAATGTTGTGGTGATGGTTAAAAGGGAAAAAAAAACATTCCCAGTGAACCTCCAGTTACAAATCGAGAGGTACAACTAAAGGAGATGAAAATATTAGTCATACTTTTCAATGGCATCCTTTATACTATATTGTACATTTTCCAAATATGCTGGGCTACAGTCCTCATCATTTACAGTTGACAAGCTATTAGCTATAATAGTAGGCACTGTAGTTTAATGCCAGTGTAGAGAAAATGGTTGTATACAATCACTTGGACAATATGTTCAGGATAATTTGATGAATAATTATTTTCTGTCCCTTGACAGTTATCCTGTTAAACAAAATATGGAATATTCACAATGATAACCACAACAATTCATTAAACTTGGGAAAAATTCATTCCAGGCAGCAGGTGGTGCTATAGAGAAGGCACACTGCCAGGGTCTTGATAGATGACAGTGTTTAATCGAAAGAACCTGGAGAGCGCCATTCCTGCAGGATCAGATTGGCAGGCAGATGTTACAGAACAGAGGTCCCCCAACCTTTCCAGCTTGGCAGCCCAGCCCAGCAGGGGGAGGGGAGTGTGAATGGCAGGCCACGTACACGCACACAGCTCCATTTGTATGAGTGGTGGGCGCATGTGTCCTCATGCAGATGGAGCTTCACGAGTGAGCGGAGGATGCTTGCGCTCACATACAAAGCTCAACTCACGTGAGTGGCAGGCACTTGGCTCACTCGCATGAGCAGAGGACACTTGGGCAAAGGGCACTTGTGCTTGCACGTGAATCTCCACTCACACTTGACCATCTCTCCTGAGGCCCAGTTTCGAACAGGCCACGGCCCGGTAGTGGGCTGTGGCATGGGGGTTAGGGACCAATGATCTAAGAGACAGCTGGCTGCTCAACAAACCAGGCTGTATGCCAGGTAGGGCTTTATAGGTAACAACCAGCATCTTGAAATTGCACCTAGAAACAAAGGATGAGTTCTATAAGACTAAACAAGTACTATCTATCAACATATGTACTTACAGGTCTTTGACCTGTATAATGAGGATAATTGGGACAGAATTTCTGTTGCTAGGTGATGCAATGGTCATGCATGATGCCACGTAATTTAGCAATGGAGAGTCTGGCACTTCTAGTTGCTGTTGTTAAGTGAAATCACATGGGCTGTTAAGTGAGTTGCCATTTGGGACTTCCTGATGGCTTAACTTGTCTTGTAATTGTGAGAACTTCCTGATGGCCTGCCCCTTAACTTTTCTTGTAATTGCGAGCCAGGTGCCAAGCGCCTGGATCTCAACCATGTGATCATGGGAACACAGCAATTGATATAAGTACAAAGACTGGTCATAAGGTAACATTGTTCAGTACCAGCGTAAGTTCAGACACTGAACAAGTATGCATTAAACAAGGACCACTTGCAGACTCAATCCCAGTGTTTTCGAAGCATTGCATTCAGTGGGATCCATCAGTAGAATACCCTTCCGTCTTCAACATCTGCATACTCTCCAAATTTAATTCAAATATTTGGAGGAATCTCAAAAGCAGATGGGCGAGTCTCTCATGCAGTGAACACAACATTCATATAATATTGGATGAGGCCTGGAAATTTTGTTGCATTTTCAGAATTTTCCTCTTCTGGTAGCATCCTTGTTGCTCTACTTCACATCAGGGATGGGATTCTACCAGTTCGCACCTATTCGCTAGAACCGGTTGTTAACATTCTAAGCAGTTCAGAGAACCGGTTGTTAGAAGAAATTACTGGCCTAATCCTGTAAGGAAGGCAGGAAGGAAACATTCTGGTGTTGCTTACGGAAACTGCCTCTCCCTTAACCCTTATTACATTCTTGGCAGGACTAGACTTCATGTCTCAGGAACTTCTCTGGAGTTTTTTTTCCCCTTCCTTTCTGGTACTTTGCTTGTGTGGAGTGACCATTCAAAGTTACAATGGCACTTAGTGACTTATGACCATTTTTCATACTTATGACTGTTGCAGCATCTCCACAGTCATGAGAGGCCAGGCGAGGAGATGCGTGCCTCGATGTGAGTGATATTGAGTTCGCCACACCCAGCCAATAACATGACCACCAAGCCATGTCCACCCAGTCACATGACCACCTAAGCCACACCTACCACCTAAGCCACGCCCACAGAACCAGTTGTTAAAAATTTTGAATCCCACCCCTGCTTCACACCCTAGTTATTTTGGACCAAGAGTCGATCGTTTATTTGGTTCTGCACACCATTCTAAATTATTAATCAAAAGTTGATGAGAAAAATCACAGCAGCCACCCCTATTTATCATACGAAAAGTAAATGTTTCTCTAAGAGATTGCCTTGGAAAATGTTGTAAAATATTTTCTGTATTTTTAAAATATGGGCATCACCTCCTTTTTTTCTACAGCTAATGGAAATGTGCACTTCATCAAGAGGCAGGGGAGGAATTGTTCATAAGTTTTTTCCTGACATGGGGTCAGTAGAGTCTGGTGCAGAAATGTAAAACTAATCAATGTCTTAATTGTGGTTAAATGATCAGGGTGCTCAAGTGTTCCCCAGCAATAATGCTCTTTTCTAAGCTAAACAAATGAACACACTGATACATTTCTTTAATATGTTGAATGTGTCAGGTATTTGGAGATAATTGGTGGAGAGGTAGACCTCATAAAATATTTCTATGGTCTTTTTAGAGTTGCCAGAATGCACACAGCGACTGCCTTCATAAAATATACTAAATTAAGACAAAACAAAATGTCTTAGCATGTTGTGTCTATCCTGTGTTCTGCTCTTAATGTTTGTTATCATAGGAATAAAATAGAATCTAATTATATGATAAATTATCCAATCTAAACATAACTCATTATATTAAGCCATGGATAATTGGCTAAATCACAATTAGCTGAACTTATACAACAAACCAAACCATAAACTATAACTGGCTTGCAGGGTTCACACCAGTTTAGTTTGAACTAAAACTAAATTAAGCATATTATGGCTTAAGTGCAATTTATGCAAACCAGATGCCAAAATAATGCTAATTGGTAGAATGTGCAAACCTGTAGTATACTGCCAATATCTTAATTCTGATTAGATGCTTTGGTAGTGTTAAAGTACCAAATACAGGTAGTATTTATTTATAGTACTTGTGGTCTGGGTATATGTTTAAAATGTCCCATTTTGGCTATTTTCAAAGGGTATCCTCATTAATCTGCTGGAGTAATTTAAATGATAATTTTTTTTTCAGAAATGCAAACAAGACAGTATTTTACCTCCAGTTGATGTTGCCTTGGGATACCAATTTTTATTTTTGCACAAAACTATGTCCGTCCTTGTAATATTGACTAGTTGCAGTTCTCTTACTGTCCTATTAATTATGTCTGCACCTATTTCCCTCTGCTTTGACCCCTTTTAGGAAATGTGACAGGAAACGGGAACTCTACATTCATTTCAAGTGGACAAGTCATGAATTTTAAGGGTGAAATTATTTTTGTCTATGTTAGTCAGAACTCCCAGGAAGGGTCGATGACTCCTGGATCCAGTGACGACAGCCTGGGGAACCCAGTGCAAGAGGAAAACTTAAACCGCTGTGAGACATTTGCAGGCAATGCTGACCAGTATAAAGAAAAATGCGCTGAAATCAATACGTGTCACAGCATGGAATCTGGAGAACCTCAAAGCACCGTAGAAGGATACAAGAGGACTTTTGGGCCAATTGGTCAAGAAGAGAATTGTGAAAGCCAGAAGAAGCACCTCTCTCATGAAGCCTCACAGCCTGTACAAGAGGAAGGGAAGCCAGGATATTCTTAAAGGAAATGGTGCATTGATGCAGACGAATGCTGATTATTGGTATTCAGTCAAAAGAACTGACACAAGTATCATTCACTGAACCGTGATCTGGAAAGCAGATGCAGATAGCACTAATTAAGCAAAGGAAGCCTTCTGTCGGTTGCTGAGATGTCAGATTGCCGGCTACTGGATTAAAAGGGGGTTCTTTGCTCCAATATAAAAATGGTAGAGGAGACAATTGAATTAATGCTATGTGGAATATTTTGGTTTTCCAGGAAAAGAGTAGTGTATTGGGATTCAGAGATGAGATGCGTTGTGTCGTTGCTGTTCTTCCGGATGCCAAGGATGATGTTCCTATGGAATTGACACATGCTGCCTAAGACTCATCCATAGAATTTGTTTTTAAAATGGTAGCTTCTGTTTATGTACAGTGGTAACGTTAACACAGCTGCCTTAACCTTTACTGCAGAAAATACAGATGAAAGTTCAGGAAAACAGAAGTTAGTATTGTCTATCCTCACGTTGCAGATAAGATTTCTGCCTCTCTCTTTTTCATTTAAAATATTTCATATTCATCCTTTCAATGTTTTGTCCAAGAACTTACATTTTTCGAAAGGAAATTGCAGTTGCTCTCGGTCTCAGTAAGACTTCATGGCACCATACACTCCTGCATGGGTTGTGTCATCTTTTTTAAAAAGTTTGCCACTGAATGAGTAGCAAGTTGTGAGTTGTACTTATAGAACAGCCCCATCATTCAGTGTTTGAATCACTATGAAGCTCATGATTCCAAATTAAACAATAAAACTTAACACTTTGTGTGTGCCCACAACTTCTCCCCCCATATTCTCATTAATGGTGTGAAAGAAGATTGATTGCTCGTGAGCACTTTTTCTCAAGACAGGCAGAGAAGGTGGGCTTGTCTATTTTAGAAAAGTAACTTACCAACAATCTAGCATTAGCATTGTTCCCAGTCATTCCAGAACACTATACACCAAGGGTGTCAAATTCAAGGCCTGTGAGACAGATATGGCCCATGGATTGCTCAGATCTGGCCTGCAAAGCTGATCTGGAAACAGCAAAGGGGCGGCCCACAGTGCCTCTGCCAGTGAAAAAAGAGCTCCATTTTCGCTGGCAGGGGGTTGCGGGAGGCCGTTGCAGCTGAAAACGGAGTTCACAAAGGCTGCATGTGGGCCTCCTGAGTGCCATTTTCACTGACAGAGGGTTACAGGAAGCCGTTGCAACCGAAAATAGACCTCAGAAGCCCGTTTTCACTAGCAGAGCACTCGGACCACCACAGGCAACCCCGACACGAGTGATGTTGAGCTGGCCATGCCCCCCCCCCCCCCCCCCCGAGGTCAAACACAATCCTGATGTGGTTCTTAATGAAATCCAGTTTGACACCTCCTGTTATACTCAGAAAAGGTGACTGGTTCATTTAATATCATCAAATGACCTTAATCCATACCTGAGGCATGGAATACAGTCCTTTAGATTGTATTGAGGCTGAAATTATATTGTTCTGTATTCATGCTCCAAAGTCTCGAGGGACATCTCTTGACATTAATGACATGCTGCTGTATGCAGTGTTTCTTTTAAAATGTGTAAAACTACAGTAATAATTTTTATGAAATGAAGTCAATTTTAGACAATGTTTATGATACTTTTATTTGCTAAAATTCTAATTTTGTAAAAAAAAAAAAAAAACCCCACTAATGCCGTGTTTCTCATAAAATAAGGCCGGGTCTTATATTTTTTTGAGCCCCCCAAAAACGGCTAGGCCGTCTTTTCGGGGGTGACTTAATTCACCCCCTTGCATCCTCATCTAGAGCACCCCGCGGGCAGCCTCGCCACCAGCCGCTCCTAACGGGTGATCATGGCGAAGCGCAGAGAGCTCCCTACTCCCACCAAACACCTTTCCTGCAGACCCAAGACCTTTGGCACCCGCCGCTGTTGCTTTCCCTTCTGCCCATTCCACCACCACGTTTGGAGCTGCCGCTTCCGTGTTTGGAGTGCTGCTGTCATTTGGAGTGCTGCCATTTGGAACACTGCCATCATGTTTGGAGCTGCCACTTCCGCGTTTGGAGCTGCCGCTGTGTTTGGAGTGGCGGCGGCGCTCCAAATGGCGGTGGTGCTCCAAACAGCGGCAGTGCTCCAAACGCGGAAGTGGCTGCTCCAAACGCGGAAGCGGCATCTCCAAACACGGAAGCGGCAGCTCCAAATGCTGACATGGCAACTCCAAACAGCGGCAGTGCTCCAAACAGTGGTGGGGTTCCAAACGCGAAAGCGGCAGCTCCAAACGCGGCAGCAGCTCCAAATGCAGAAGTGGCAGCTCCAAACAGCAGCAGGGCTCCAAACAGCAGCAGGGCTCCAAACAGCGGCAGTGCTCCAAACGTGGAAGCGGCAGCTCCAAACGCAGCGGCAGCTCCAAATGCAGAAGTGGCAGCTCCAAACGGCAGCAGTGCTCCAAACAGTGGTGCTCCAAACATGGAAGTAGCAGCTCCAAACGCGGCAGCGGCATGGGCAGAAGGGAAATCAACAGCGGCGGGCGCTGAAGGTCTTGGGTCTGCCGCAAAGGTGCTTGCCAGGAGTAGGGAGCTCTCCGCGCTCTGCCATGATCGCCCATTAGGAACAGCTGGTGGCAAGGAATTGCTGCCCATGGGGCACTCCTAACGGCAAGTCCCCCCGCCCTTCCCCCATTTTGCATGTTTTAAAATAGGCCTAAATTGGGGGGGAGGGGCTTAATTTCATTTTATGCCTAGAAAACATGCTGGGTCTTCCTATTGGGGGAGGTCGTATTGTTGGATAAACACGGTAATATTTTACCAGTTTTCCCTTTATACTCACCAGCTGTGTATTATCTCAATATTTCCAAAACTTGTTGGGTGCTAGTAATTATTCCAACAATTTTGATGGATGAGTACCAAAGAGTCAAAAGTTCAGCTTTCCCCTGGCTTTATCTGCAACTTTTCACCTTTCTCATCTACAAGTAGCCCTTAATTTACGACCACAATTGGGCCCAGAACTTCTGCTGCTAAACGAGATGGTTGTTAAGTGATCCACGTTCAACTTTATGAACCTTTTGCTGCAGTTGTTACGGGCATCCCCATGGCCGTTAAGCGAATTTGACTTCCTCTATTGACTTGGCTTGTCGGAAGCAGGCTGGGAGGATTGCAAGTGGTGATCATGGGACCCTGGGATGCTGCAACTATTGTAAATACATGCTGGTTGCCAAGCACTCAAAATTTGATCACATGACCACCAGGAGTCTGTCATGTGAGGATCAGTTGTAAGTTACTTTTTTCAGCAATGGCGTAACTTCAGATGGTCATTATGCAAAAAGATATAAGCTGAGGACTTCTTTTATTGAATTAATTAATTACCTATAGAAGTGATGTAAGATTAAGAGTAACAGAATAGGGCTAGGGTGACTCAAATATGGCACAATGTCATCCTGCTACTTCTCTAATTTTGAATGGAAATTAGACTTGGTTTAGTAGGAAGATGGAATGAAAAGAAATGAATGAAATCTTGAATAAAGGATACAGATTCACACAGTGATGTCTGTGTTTTGTACATAATTTATTTTCAATGTTGGAGGAAACAAAAAGGTATAAAATAGATTTGAGGATACTATCATTTACTGTGTACTACAAGCCTATTGTACTGATATGAGGAGAGATCAAAGAATCTATTTCATGATACAGAATAAAATGTTAAATGGTTAAATATGGTTAAATGTTAAATATAATGGTTCTAATGTTAAATATATACGAAAAAAAACCCAAGATGCATATACTGTCCCATTGGAATCCAGTATGGATTCTGTTTCTTGGAAGCACTTAAGTTGAATACATATAAGCAGTGTTGGTGTTTTTATAATACGTAAGTAAAACGTATATAAGTAGTCCTCAACTTATGACCACAATTCAGCCCAAAATTTCCTTTGCTAATCAAAACAGTTGAGTTTTGCATCATTTTACAACCTTTCTTGTCATGGTTGTTAAGTGAATCACAGTTACTAACACAGTTTTTAAGTGAATCTGGCTTCCCCATTGACTTTCCTTGTCAGAATGTTTCAAAAGGTAATCACATGAGCCCAGGACACGCAACTGTCATAAATACATGCCAGTTGCCAAGCATCTGGATTTTGATCGTGTGACCATGGGATGTTTCAAAGGTTGTATGAAAATGGTCATTAAGTCATTTTTTTCACTGCCGTTTTAACTTTAAGCAGTCAGTAAACAAATGATTGTAAGTCAAGGTCTACCTGTAAATCATCTTTATAATAATCAAGAGAAACATTGGAATGTGCTGTTATATTAGGTCAGATGAGCTACCTAGCTTAGAAAGCTATTCCAAAGATCGGCAGTTCTCCAGTCTCTTTCCATTACCTGCTTTTAGGATGTGTGTGTGTTCTATGTTAATCTTCAAGACACTATTCTGTTTCATCAGAATGGTTTTTTAAATGGGTTTTCTTTTCAGTCTTAATCTCTTTCCATTTGTTGTCTGCTGTTTTCTGTAACATAATGAAACATAATGAAATATGAGTTACATACGTGGGTTTTAACAGTTTTTCCCAATGTCTATTTTTAGTGAAATCTCTAGGAAATGTTTATTTTCCTCAATGCAATTTTAAAGGAAAATTTCCCATTTCCTTGATGTTGTTCAATTGCTAATTTGTGTCCGACTCTTTGTGACCATAGCATACCAGGCCTCCTCATCTCCACTGTTTCCTGGAGTTTGACCAAATTCATGTTCATTCCGTCAATGACACTATCTAACTATCTCATCCCGTCTTCTTCTCCTTTTGCCTTCCATCTTTCCCAACATCTGGGCCTTTTCCAGTGAATCCTCTCTTCTTATTTGGTGGCCAAAGCTTCAGCTTCAGTATCTGTCCTTCCAAAAACCAGTCAGGGGCAATTTCCTTTAGGTTTGACTGATTTGATTTTGCAGTCCAAAGAACTCTCAAGAGAGCCTTCCTTGATACAATGCATGTTTTATTCACACCTTTGTCAAATATACTCTCTTTTGTGGACTTTTCTTTTACAAATAGAGGTGTTGTACAGACACTACACTGGAGAACAATGGACAGTAGCGGACTCTATTTATTGTTGCCATGGGAAATTTTTATGAATCACATTCACAAGATATAAATGGTAGGAAGACTGAGATAACACTGGCATTATAATATTGAAGTGATTATGTGGAAAATTAGGAATACATAATTTTCAAGAAATGTATCCTAGAAGAAATTAGCTTCATAAGTGACCTAAAACATTCCTTTGAACTTGAGTATTATAAATCAGTACAAAGTTGTTCAGTGGCACTCAGAAAGGAAAAGATATTGCAGAATTTAATCTTGTACTAAATATAAGATCAGATTCATATGAATGATACAAAGATGAGGTGCATTTTGATGCACTAAATCAATCGTTGCCAACCAGTGGGCCGGGGACCACTGGTGGTCCGCGAGAAAATTTTGGTGGTCTGCAGAGAAATGTCACCTGCAAAGCACCCCCCAAAACAATTAATCCAGCTACACGGGAACACAAGGCTGTGCCGCCCACATGGCCCATGGGAACACAAGACTTGCGTCACTTGCATTGTGAACATGAGGTAGTGAGGGGAGGGGGGAAAAGGGCGGAGGGGGAACTTGCCCCACGTGCCTCGCCTGGCCACCTGGCTGCTTCTTTTCGCTTCTGCTTTTGGCTGCACGCAAGGAAAGCAGCAAAAGTCTTTCTTTCTCTCCCCCAAACTCCACCAGAAATGAGTCTGGGACCCTGCAAGGCATCCTGCTCCAAGAGGCTGCACCAGCGAAGACTCATTTCTGGTGGAGTTTGGGGGAGAGAAAGAAAGGCTT